CTGAAGCTTGGAAAGATCATTGAAGTAAAAGAAATGGTGTTTTGGTGAAGCAAGGACCATCAAGCCAGCCTATCCAACCTCTTTAACCTTCTCTGGACTTTTGTAAGTCTTCTAAGCTCAACTTTGTGGTTGTTTCCTGTAGATCTAGAGAAAGTGAGCATATTTCTCCATGGTGTGCTCTTATGAGTGGTTGGTGTTGATACAGTTTGCAATTTGATCACTCATTAAGGTCTCTGGAGTATTATATGGTTGGGATCTGGACTTCTTTGTTGATTTGATGTCATGCATGAGATTTTACCCCCATTTCCATCATTTTGACCTAGTTTGAGTGCATGACATGCATTGGACATGCATGTTCATAAAGCACTGATTTTTATGAAGCTTATGAATGCAAAGAAGCTTTATGGAAAGTATGAGTGTTTGGCTTAACGAATTAAGGGCTTAATCCATTAAGATGTTTTGTCCACTTCCCACGGCATGGAATGATGCTCGCAACAGCGTGGTGACGGGTTTCATACGTGATTGTTTTGTCGTTTGGTTGCCACGACGCGATCAGTGGTTCGCCACGACGTGGTGCTTGACTGTTGAATTTTGACCAAGTTGAATTTTGGTCAAATTGTTAGTATAAGTGAGTAGACTAAGGTTTGGCCTTTTTTACACTAGGTAGTTTGTAGTACCAATTTTCTAATCCGCAAGCTATGGTGTAGTCTACTGCGATAAAGAGCTGAGTCTTCTCCTTATAATATGTAGGACACTAGGTGTCATTGTATGTTGTATGTCTCTGTAACTTTCATGGAAGACCATGGTTGGATCATGGCAGGAAATACTGTAGCATGGTTGTAGCAACGAAAGTAACTATTGGTTGAAATAGACCGTTGGACGGGGCCCGTTGAATGAAATAGGCCATTATATGCATGACATGTGGTATTTTGGGGAACTCACTAAGCTTTGTGCTTACGTTTTCAAGTTTAAATGTTTTAGGTACCTCTGATAACAAAGGGAAGGGCCCGACATGATTGCACTGCATCCACTGGAGATTTCCGCACTATTGTCTTATGTTTACTCTGGTGTTTAATACATTTCATACTTTGGATATCTTTTGGATGGATTGAAATGGATGATTTTTATCTTATTAAGAATAAAAGTTTTACTTAGTTTTTTTGGGACGTTACAACTAGTTGAATTTATGAAACCTAGGTTTAAATTACCCAAAAGATCACAATGGAAATCTAGATTTGAACCACAACATCAAGTAATCTCACCATAAGTCATATATTGACAAATTGATCATAATTTGAAGTTAAATACAATGACTAAGCATAAAATCAAGCTCATAACCACACAAGGGACTTCAAATTCTTATTTCATTATCAAGGGTTTAGAAAACCCATCAAAAGAACTTCAATCTCACAACTATTAACTAATTGGAGCTTGGAGATGGATTATGGAATGAAACTACAACATTAATCTCATATAAACAACACAAACATAGTATGATTTTTGGATTTGAAATCCTACAAAAACCCTAATAAGAATTTAAAGGAAAAGGGGAAGAAAATTACCTCCGGATGCAAATTGATGAGAGGATTTGAGCAAGGCTTCATCTAGCAATTTCAAGCATTAAAATTCCATGGATTTTGTGAGGAAAATTCGATTATGGAGGTAAATGAGGCGAAAATCGCAACAAGAAGAAAGGGGCTAAAGAATGGGAAGAAAGGGGTTGATGGACATTTAAATGCAAATCTGATATGTGCGTCGACGCGTCACAACACCCTACTGGATGCGGCGTGTTCATCAAAGTTTGGGAAGTTGTCATTTTTGGTCCCTTCTCCTAATATATTTTTAAATATGATACCCAACTAGTCTAAAACTTACATTAACTCATAATTAGTTCTTCTCCATCAAAACTTATGCAAACTCAATCCTAAATACATATTTTGTCAACTCTCGAGACATACACAAGTTTCTCTAATTTGGCACAATAGGCCCCTTACTACCAAAGTCTTATTTTATTGCCATAATTTCTATCATATTTTAATTAAATTAGTAATGGGTTTTATTATGATTCTAAATCATTTACTTCCATCTATTTATTTCTTTTGCTTCAAATTATTTTATTTAAAGAAATTTTTATTTTTACCTGAAAAACTCAAAGCTTCTAACCCCCAAAACAGGATGTTACATTATGTCTTCATCATGAATGGAAATACGATTAACCACAACTCACATCATGGCTTGATAATGCAATCTACATAAGAAGTAGTACATCGCAACTCCATAAGAAACTTTAGAAGTTATCTATAATGATAAACATTGTTGAACTCGTCATAATACACATCATTGAAATCTCTATGTGATATATTATGAAAATATTGGTCCCTTAATACATAGATGACAACAAGGGATGACTAGAATACATACATGACAACAAGGGATGACTTCTTCTAGTCAATCTTTTTCACTTTTTCACTTCTTGATTCATGATGTTGTTAGAACAAGTGAAGTTAGTGTTCCTAAAAATTCATACAAATAAAATAGCTGATATGTTTACAAATACCTTGCCTTGTGTCAAGTATAATGGCCATGCTACCAGAACTAGATTTTGTTATGCTAGTAACTTATTTTATTTGTAAATAATTTTGGTATTTGGATATTGGATATTAAAAATGGTGTTTTAGATATGAATTAATGTACCCGATATGATTATTTTCATCAACATTACTTTATTATTTATTAACATGTTTAATCCATGAATAATTGTTGGTTATTTGAAACATCTAAAGTCGATCAAACTATAATAGTAACTATGAATTAGACTAATGTGAATGTTGGTAAAATTCATATGGAGGAATATGTGTTCCAAAAAGCCAAATTCATGTGTATTCACTAATGGTGAATATTGGATTGACTCAACCTTAGTATGTCACTTCATGGATCGACGTCACTATGGATCGACGTCACTAGGTGAATCTTGAAAATAGTTGGGTTTATATATCCTTCGACCCGAGATATATGTTTTCTTATGGGTAAGTGGGTCGTTATGTATTGAAGTTGTGAAACAGTATTTTGAATATGAAAATTATAAAAGCTACTACCATATATGATGTGCAGCTTAATGATGAATGCATCTAGTCAAGATAGGCTTGCTCTTCTAATTATTGTAGTGTGATATCAGTTGCGGCCTTCAATAAGTCATATATATATATATATATATATATATATATATATATATATATATATATATATATATATATATATATATGAGTGTGTGGCCCTACCGGATGATATTAGCATGATGGTCTGTTTCTTATTTGGATTCATTGGTCGAAAAACCTATATTTAACTTGTATGAGAATGATTTGATCCATGACTCATTTTTATTGATATCAAAACCAAAGGTAAATTAAGATGATAAGTCATTTAATATCACAAGTCTATGCTCTAGTAGAGACAAATATTCATGTATGGTTAAAAGTAGTGATATGTTGTCAGACGTTTAACATTGTCTAATATAGTTAAAAAAACTATTGAACAAATAAAAGTCTTTTGGATCTCGTTTGTAAGGAACAAAAGATTTAATGTACCGTTAATTATATTTGAACATATAGGGTCACACGTAAACGAGCATTTAAAGATAATATATAAATAATAATTATTAGTGATAAATTTAATATTTACCAATCTATCATAAACAATTAAATAAATGGTTATTTATTAATTATTTAAAAAACAAAATAAATAAAAGAGTTTACTTATTAAATAAATAAAATAATTTATTTATTAAGGTCGGATTAATTTATTAAACTAATTGATTAAAAAGTTTTAAGCTATTAGCTTAATGGTCTAATGGATTGAAAGGTTTTCCTGAACTACCTTATCTTTCTCCGTCCTTGATATGATTGTCAACCAAACAAAGGAACAAACAACTGAAGGTGATTTTGTTTTGGTGGTTGGAAGTTTGGGAGCTTTTATGTCCAGATATATATAGGAAGATTTGCATTGATCTTCGGTTCTACAATAACGCATCTCCTTACCACTTGAAGTGAAATTGTTTAACCCCTTGTATGATCGTATTTGGTTAATCAAGTATGATCCAAATGGATCTGTCTTTAAGAATTTAAAATTTAAAATTGTATTTTCTGTTGTCTTCGTTTAAGAATTTAAAATTTAAAATCGTATTTTCTGTTGTCTTCGTTTAAGAATTTAAAATTTAAAATCGTATTTTCTGTTGTCTTCATTACCCGGGTCTCCTTACCAAATGGATCCATGTTTAAAGATAGATACTTCAAATATCAGCAAAAAGACGTTACTATACAAATATCACTCCAAAATGACATCATGCTTAGCAAGGACAATTTGGGCGAATCCTTCTTTGTATTTTCAGTATCCTTTGTTCTCTTTTTGAAATTGACATCTCTCCCAATACTTGCAAATGACAGTTTTAGTCCAAGTTTCCTGTTAAACTATTATCAAATGACTATTTTTTCCCTAACTTCATATCTTTTTGTTGATTTTATTATTATTGTTAGCTTATTAGTTTATGCCCCTCAAATAACCACCTCTAGAAAGTTCGTTTATGCTTTGCCAATAATATTCATCTAGAAATCAATAGATTGATCAATTCCACTTGGACAAACTTTTTACAACTACCTTCAATGATGATTGAAAAGAGGTCATTCATGTCTTCTGCACACAAAAGAAAAAAAAAACCACAGCAACAAGTCCCTATAAATATTTAACTGGACATTTCAAAACCTAAATACCATCATCATTTTCAGATAAAAGAAACCTCAACACAATATACCATATACAAAATACCAAAACATAAAAACTTTATAATAAAAAAAAAAAAGGAAAGGCCTCTTAGTAGGCTTTTCCATCACTTGTTCTCTCCATTGTTAAATTCTTTAAAAAAAAAAGCAAACTCCATAGTCGAACATATATATATATATATATATATATATATATATATATATATATATATATATATATATATAACTCCTATATCTTCTTCATCTACAAAGAAGAACAAGTGAGGGCCAGAATTACAAAGTTGAATTATATTTATAAAAAATAATCAGGAGTCTTGCGGGTTGTGTCTGGTTCAATCTGCTTAGGGGCGGGATCAAACTGAAGAAAATTGTGTTCCATGTTCTCTCCGACTTCCAGAATGGCAGCCATGTTTCCACATCTGTAACAGTAGTTTGGTGCACTGAACACTGTCACCACATTCTTGTCCTAATAATCACAAAAACTTATCAATAATTAAGCCTAATCATTATTATCATCATTAACGAGAGGGAGGGAGGGGTAATTAAGTAAATAAACCTGGCACCAGTTGAAACCCTCCATGACAAGCTGGTGAGCTCTGGAGATGAGAGTGAGTCCATTTGTATGGTTGAATTGAGACGCGATGTCTTGTCCGAATGTGTACCCGGCCCCACGTGGAGAGATCCCCCACCCGCATCTGTCATCTGGATCCGACCATAACAGATCACACATTGGTCCTTCATGTGGGACCTACAAACAAAATCATAAACACACCAATTTAAGTATTACCATTAATTTCAAATATATCTCAGCTTATGAGAGATTAAGTGATGTTATCATTTGATGTACCTCTTGTATGCGATCCAAGCCTCGGATATTGTCAAGTGTGTCCAAAGATGGTGAAAGTCCGCCATGCAAGCAGAAGATCTGTTATGACATGTGTGTATTAAATTGTAATTGTAATTGTAATATTTATGTTATGATTAAGATTCAAGAAAAAGAAGCATACCTGGCTCTCGATAAGTGCTGTAAGAGGAAGGTAATCGAATAGGTCGGTGAAATACTTCCAAACATTTGCATTCCCATACTTTCTCAAACATTCATCATAGAAGCCATACCTGTGTTGAACACACAAAAAAAAAAAAAAAAAGAATTATCAATATCAAGGTAAAGAAACCATACCTTTAGTCAAAGTCCTTTGTATAGTAATAGTTGATGCGGATTGTAAGTCATCCATAGGTTTTGTCTATTGGGAGATTAAAAAGGAGAGAGAAGATATGATCGAAGCTTTGGATGCTAACAAAAAACCTATCAAGGATATTATATCATTAAATATGAAAGATAGGCTAGATTCAAATCTACATTTGACGGCTTATCTTTTAAATCCTTACTATCATTACGAAGATCCTAATGTAATTTTGGGATATTTAGAGATCCCAAGGCAAGTCGTAACTATCGAGTTGCCAAGGTAGAAGAAAAAACAAGATAGATTTGGTCCAAAATCCAGATCTTGCAATTAAAGCATGTGAGGTGAACGATGATGACTTTGATCAAGGTAATGCGTTTTACTTTTATTTATTTGTTCTTCAAAATTTCATATTTGTCAATATAATAATGTGTGTTTTAACAATTAGTAGCAAATTGGTGGGAATTTTTAGTGGCTCTAACTCCTCACTTTTTTTTTTTTTGTTGGGGAAAGAGAATTTCCCCAACGAGGGTTTCCAGGCCAGCTTTCACGCACCGACTAATCCCCCACTGCAAACATAAACATGAGGCTATGCCTCATGCCTTGGAGTCACTGCAGGCGAACCTCCATGGCCACAGGGGCCGAGTAGTGCCAGGAGCCGAGTCAATTGGTTATCCACCATATCTTCCACGTCTTACCAATGATTCTTTCTTTAACTAGTAGTTCAATCACGTTTTAGTAATTTAAAACTTTTAACGTAGAGTAATATATTTAAAAAAAAATCATATATCATATATTCTTTATACCCTTTTTTTGCTTTTAACTTTATAGATACATGAGAAAAGCAACAGATTAGAGGCAACTTAAATGAACAATCTTGTTTATGTTCAATTCAATGCTAGTTTAATGAGGAAAAAAGGGTACAAAATGAAGGAATATGGAAATGCTATTAGCAAGTGATGCTCATTTTGCTCACTTGGCTCAAGAATTTATTGTTGATTGTGACGAAGCTATTAGCAAGTGATGCTATCAACTGAACAATCTTGGTGTAGATGAAGTTGACCCAACTTGCATCGGTAAGCGGTTGGTGAAGCTATAGAAGTCGATAATTATCTAGCATCGTGAAGAATTTGTGGGATAAGATAACTTTTTGAGGAAGAATTCGAGTTCATGAGTGAGGATGAATTAGACGAAGGTGGATTTGAAGTAAACAGAGTTCACATCATGGAATAATGCGGAGAAAACGAGCAATTTAATATTTGAAGATGAGTTTTTATTTTTTTAACTTATTAAACTTGTAATGTATTCCCGATATGGTGATTGGCGACTTAATTAAGTATTTAAACACTTGAACATATATATTTTTATGGTTATTTAGATATTATGTGAAGATATTAGTCATATTTATTTGTTTCTAAATTAATTGCTTCATAATTTAGTGTCCCCGACTAGCCCCTAGTCCCCACTCACCAAGTTGACGGATCAACTAGCACCTAGCAACTTTTACAACCTTAGGGAGTACTAACCAAGTAAGAAGCACCCCATATGATATGTATGGATACATGCAATTATAAGCACGAATCATTAAATGAAGTTCACATCATACTCTTACATGACAATCGTTTCATTACGATGTTTTTGATAAACTTGGTGTGCATGAGGTGGAAGAAATATATCAGAATTAGAAAATACCACATACAAGAGCAACCTCTTAATGCATATGTATCATTGAAAAAGATATTTAAAAGATAGAAAAATATGTACCCGCTTACAAGATCTTGCACATATTTTGTTCTCACATTCTTATCAATCTAACATAGTTGGTCATGAGCTTTTTTTGTTATATGAAATGAGGAAAGCAAATAACGAAATGGAAGTGAGGCGGAAGGAAGAGAAAAACCAAGCAAAACAATCCCGTTAAACTACTATTGGGGTAACCGATAGTTTACCCAATGTGCATGCATTGATTATTGGAGTATGTGCATACGACTTAACGAAACCAACGTTATGGCCTACATTATCCGAACCTATCGGGTTACACAACTAGCCAACTAGGGCAAGTAGTCAATAATAAGAGTTGTAAGGAACAAAAGCATAAAAGGTAAAAGTGTTGCATGCTTTTCATCCCCTTAGCTCAAGTTTTTTAAGGAAGAATTCGCATGGAATTCGAAGAGGATTTTGGGTTTCTTATAGTCCTTGTTGTGAGGTTGATAATAGCATTAAACTTGCCTTTAATAATTCGACTCAAACTTACCACCGGTAGACGGAAACTGCTTTGGTTCCTAAGCCATACGTGGATTTGCAACCCTACATCAATCGTAGTGCACCTCAATGTAAGAAACAGTCTAAACACCCTATGGGGTTGTTTATTGCTTATCTTGCCCCATGGGTGATCTTGTTGGAAGGCTATATGGTTACTTTAATGATTTCTTCCATTGCATTATCTTAAGTTTTATGGTCGATGGTAAACCCTATATTGACTACATATTAGAGACGTTTAAATAAGCAAGAAAGGCAAAGCAAAGGGCAACAACCCATGCATATGCATGACCCTTACAAGGAACAACTTATATATATCAATAACGGATATTGCACCATAAGACTTTCAAAGAGGCCGATAGAGAGTGAAGGAGGGACGAAAGGCACATATAAAACACGTTTGAGTAAAAAAAAAAATCAAGATCTCAACCAAGATTTTCCTTTTGTAAATCTTGGCAAAACTATTTCATGTTATATTTGGTCAAAGAGTTTCAAATAGATTATTGTTGGAACCACGATGGCAATCCAATCTATGCTCTTTCATATCACTTCATGAGACCGAGAGGGTCCCACAACATCATATAGAAGAAGGCAGCCTTGGTTTGTTTATTTCATGTTTTGTTATGTAAGGCACTTCCTCATGGAGAACGTTGTACATGCAACATACACATTTTCCCTTGAACCAGAACTCTTCCTTTTAAGTTGCTAGGAAGTAGGAAATAGGAATTGTATCCTCTTCACCTATATTTGCTTAGCTTCTTGGGCAATAGGCATACTTTCCTCTAGGGGCTATATTATAGAATTTGGTAAACGCCTTAAGCTTTATCGAGTTTTATATAAAACTCAGTTACGCAAAAGAATTATTATAATATAACCTACTAAAGTTGGCAATGCAATCATATCGATACGTATCTCTATGGCCAAATCACACATGGAAAATATCAATTTGACAAGCACAAAAAGAAATCAAGAAATCTCCACTACGCATACAATTATCCAAAAGAGATTTGCTACTCATTTACAAATATCATTAAATCATCCAAGAAGTTTCAACAGGTTAATCAATGCAAATCTTAGCTTAACTTTGGGTCTCATCTAATTAATTTTGGATTTCATCACCATTGAAATATCATGGAGACCTCATGCCAATCATCGACAACATACCAAATTCTATATATAGTATGGCAGTCATGGATATATGCAACAACAATGTATGCTAGCATTAAGAACAAGATATTTGGAGTTATACTATACTTCCATAACATACACTAATAGGAAATAAGCTTGCAGTTTGAATGCAAATCTTCCATGAGTAAGAGAGAAAGAGATATGTAAGTTATACTTTGATGACAAACCTATGGAAGAAAGAATGTGCATTTTGAACTTTACAAGAATCAAAACTCATGTTAATTGTGGTGAATCTTAAGAAAGTAAAGGTCTTACACTTGAGTAATCTGTCGGCTCTCATGGTTTCCTCTAAGAATTGTAAGTCTGTCTCTATAACGAACTTTAAGAGCCACTAAAAGTGAGACTGTCTCCACTGAATAATACCCACGATCTGCAGTAAACAAACATATTAGAATGAGATTAAACAAACTATTCAATTGTTCAAACTTGCAAGAAAGAAAGAAGCCAACTGGATATGTTCATTAGCACAAGAGATTAGAGACCAAGTAAATCCAAGACCACCTCCAAAAATGGAAATTTTATTTGGCAAAAATTAGAAGTCTAATTAGCAATAATAATAGAAGATAACAGCTCAAAAAGGTCAAGAAGAGTTCCAATTCAGTTATGTCTTCTGAACTGAAGGTGTCAAGATGATAAAAGGGAGTTACAAACAGGCGATATGTCAAATCTTTAAAGATATTTACAGCATTTTTGTCACCACAAAGCTCATTTAGAGTTCCAGTTCAGTTATATCTTCAATATTCTACAATATTTGCATAGATATCCAAATTCCCAATACAGACCACAAACTCGAATGGATAATAACAGTCACCATGAAATCTAGCCAGTCAATCAACCTAATTTTCGACACTAATAACACCTCATTAGTAAAATTACAAAATCCCCAAATTTAAGAAACAGTAACACAGTAATGGAACAAGAATTAACTCACCGACGTAATCGCCCATGAAGAGATAGTTTGTATCAGGTGTACTTCCACCTATCCGGAAGAGCTCGATGAGATCGTAAAATTGACCATGAATATCACCGCAAACCGTAACGGGACACTTCACCGGTTGAACATTATATTCCTCTACAAGTATAGCCCTAGCTTGATCGCAAAGGGTTTTCACCTCCGATTCCGTCAACGCCTTGCACTCCATCAACTGCTCTATCTGCCTATCTACATCCGCGTGCGACGGCATTTTCGCCTTTATTTCCCGATCAAATATCCAACGATCGAAGATCGGAATACAAAAACTTCAAAATTGTAAACAAAAATCGATCTTTAATAAAAAGCCTAATCAAAACCCGATTGGATTCAGCTTTTGAAAAAGGAGCTAGGGTTTGATTTTGATATCATTTTCAAAATATCGCAGATTCTTCTCCATCGACTTAGAAAACTCCGAAATTTGCAGAAGATATAAAGATTAGTTTTGTGTGTATAGGTTTGTATATATCAACATATGTATGTATATGCAGCGTGATGGAGAAGAAAGCTTAAAGAAACGAGGGGTGAGCCAAAAAATATACCAGGAAGGAAGAGTGAAATGAAACCGGATGAAACTGAAACTCAATCACAAGTCACCGATAATTTTCACTCAGGATTCATCATAGAGATGGTCACCACGTGTCGGCCTTTTTCAGAAAGTTTGCTAACATGCGCCCTTCCGGCAAACCATAACTCCTAAATAATAAAATAAGACTAAATTAAAAAAATGTTAACTAATAACTACCAATACTGATTGTTTGCGATTTTAGAACAAACAAAAAAATTGTTAAAAGTTAATGTTAAATAAAAAAATCTATTTTAAGAAATTTGACCGGTAATGTAGTAATAATTGGTGGCAAGATAATTTTTGATTCGTTGGTCAATGATCATAAAAAGGGAGAATAACTAAAATATAAGATTTGATATTTTGCTAAAATATCAAAAAATTTAAAAAGGGATAAACATCAAAATATCAAACTGGGAGGTGGTGGAATACAAAATGACTACCTTTCATATAACTAATAACTAATCATTTATGCACAAAATTTATTTTTCTAACAATATTTGCGAGCTTGTTACGTATTATATACAAAACAATAAATAAAACAATTCTAATAATAAGGAAATTGTTAGGTCATAAGTTGTGGTTTATACTTTTCTTTTCATAAGCTATTAGAGTTCTCGGTTTAGGACCGAAAACACCATGTTTTGGTGTTGTTTGGACCGAAATCACATGTGATTTCAGTTAGGCTTTATATTGTTTTTGGGCTTGAGCTTGGTTATTAAGTCTAGATATAAATAGTGTTATTTAGGCCTTGTAAAGTGTGTGAGACGTTTTCGGGGCTGCCATAAGCCAAGAACGAGATCTAGAGAGAAACAGAGAGAAAACAGTGTGTAATCGGAATCTTGTGTACCGGACGATTAATCAATATATCGTGTGCATTGAAGATTAATTATCTTGTTCTTATTCATCTTATATCTTGCATTATACTCTTTGATTGAGATTCCGCACCATCAAAGTGAATCTGATTGATACGTAGGAGAATTTGGCACTTACAATTGGTATTAGAGTTTGGATCGGTATCAATCGATTTGACAAGATATTAAGAGTTTCTTGGATTTTTTCTTGGATTTCCGGGTGTTTTTGAATTGTTTTGGACGAAATTTTGGATGTTTGTTCTTTGTGTTCTTCATATTTTTGAGTTTTTGATCGATTTTAGCCTTAAAATTGGAAATTTTCGTGTTTTTGGCATTTTTTGCGAGGTCCTCGGCCAAATAGCTTAGGTTCTCGGCGGCTGCTTCGGATTTCGGTCTAACCCTAGAGGATTTCGGAGGCTCGGCAGCGTTTGCGGTCGGATTCGCACGATCTCGATCTGAAGTCCTCGGCCTCGCAAGTTCTCGGTCCGCTGTTCCCGGTCTACACGATTTCGGCCTCGTAGGTTTTCGGCCTGCGATTTCGGTCAGACAAGACTTCGGTCTCGCGTGCGAGACTTCTCGGGTGGGTTAAGAGGCTTCGCAGATTTCGGTCCAAAATCTCATTTTCTGTCCAAAAGTCACGTTTTTTATCCAAAACCTTCGTTTTCGATCTAGAAACTTTTGTTTTCGGTCAAGGTTATTTTTTTGGACAAAAAGTTTGATTTTTAAGTTTGACTTTTACGTTTGACTTTTGACTTTCAGTTTTGACTTTTGACTTTCAAATTTGACCTTTGACTTTCAAGTTTTCACGTTTAACCTTCAAGTTTGACTTTCGAGGTTTCAAGTCAAAGGGCAATTTTTTCTTGGTTTCACAATCAGTTTTATTTTTGGTAAATTATTATTTTTGGTGAATAATGAGTTCAATCACAAAAGAGGTCAATGAAACTTCTTATTCTCAAGCCTGTAGTGATACTGTTAAACTTCTTCGTGATCAAATTGATATATTACGTAGAGACAATGACGACCTTAGGTATGAAGGATACACTCTCAGAAAGGCCCAAAAACCATTAAAAAATCAATTAGAGGCCAAAACCAAGCACTTTAGAAAACTTCAAGCAGAATATAGCGATAAATGTGAACATTATCAATATGATCAAGTAAAAATTGCCGAATTAACTGTCGAACTTGATGCATTAAAAGCTAAATATAAAGATGTTGAATTTAACTTTAAGAAATTTGACGTGTCAAATGAGGTAGTTGTGTCCATGATAGAAAAACAGTTAAAATTTAAAGAAAATCAGAATAAGGGTCTAGGGTATCACAGTGTTCCACCTCCCTTCAATGATAACTATACCCCGCCCCTTGAAACCAATGAGATAGAAACACCTGCACAATATGGCCAGCCCCCGGTAACAAATTCAGTTATGACTGAACAATTTTGCCCCACTAGAAGTGTTGAGGTGAACGAATCGGATACTTCTACCTCAAGTGCAGAGCAGGTCACAGTGCATGATGGACATGAGCAGAACACAAATAATTCTTGTTCTGCTGATAATGATTCAAAAGCTCGTGATGAGGTGAACGATTCTAATGCTTCTACTTCATGTGCAGATAAAGAAGCAGTGCAAGATGGGAGTGAGCAGATCAAAATCAATTCCGATTCTGCTGAAAGTGTTTCAAAAGCTTGTGATGATGACACTTCCACTGTTGAAAAATCCCAGCCACAAAAATCTGTCAAGCAGTCTAACAAATGTTCTTGTGCTTGTGATTGTTGAAGTTCTTCGAAACGAACTTCTGTTGGACAAGGACCAAGTCACAATCTGATTTATATGAAAACCAGACTTGCTTTAACTGTGGGACTCCCGGTCACATTGCCAGAAATTGCCCACATCGTGTATATGTTCCTTACTATGCACAAGGTTGGCAGAATGTGCCAAGAGGGAGATCTTACAAAAGAAACCCTTCGAGGTCACGTTCAAACAATGGTGACTGGAATGCGAAAAAGATCAAGAATCAAACTCCCAAGGACAATAAGGGAATGTCTGACAAGAAGCCAAAGAGATGGTTCTGTTAGACAAATATCATTTAGGTCGAAGTCATCTAAGCGGTCGGTTTCAAGTTCTAAAGCAAGTGTTGAGGCATCCATCCGATCAAATAAGAAATGGGTTAAACCCGACTACAGATGGGTACCAAAGGTTCACACTCCCAAATCATCTAATGATTCTAACACTTCTTCATCTTCTGTGTCTGATAAACAGGATATGTCATGAGAGAAAGTACCTTGTGTAGATGATAATGGTTAACCCAGCTTCAAGATGGACTGGGTTCCAAAAGGCAACTAATCCCGCACTCTGTGTCGTAGCAGCTATGGAAGAATATCATCAGACTTCGATTTGTTGATAGTGGTTGTTCCAGGCACATGATAGGAGACATCTCTCAACTACATTACATTCAGAACTTTAATTGAGAGCATGTATCCTTTGCGGGAAAGGAAGAAAGAGAGGATCACAAATGGGGATTGTACTTAACGATGTGAAGAATTTTTGAATCTGTTCTGGAGTTGAAACACAGTTGAGGCTGAACATGTTGTTGCATCTGCGTGCTGTTCTCAGATCATCTGGATGCAACTTCAATTGTTGAATTACGGTTTGAGTTTTCTTCTCGATGCTTTTAAGTTTTTCATAAAATGATTCGTTTTGAAGACAATTTTTTTTTTTAAAAATTTGCGCATTTATTTTGTTTCCTTTCTTCCCCATGCACAAATTAAGGGGGAGAACTCAAAAAATAAAAAAAAAATAAATAAAATTAATAAAATTAAAAATAAAAGATACAAAAAGATGTTTTCTTGTAAGTATTTTTGGGAAGTGATATGAAGTTTAGTGCTAAAGGGCAATATGAGATGCGTGTAATGCACTGAAGCTAAATTGTTTAGACTATGTGTTCAATGTGCTGGTAGGCACGAAGGATTCAAAAGGACTAGACATAGCTGACAATGAAAGGACTTGACTGTGTTAACTCATCTGGACTTAGATAGTTACATTTGGTCTGACTATACGACGCTTGGATAGATTGAGCAGTGAGATCAACAAGGGAGCCTACGAGATACATTAAAGTTACTTATCATCTAGAACTGTGGCTCAACACTTCTTCGATGTACGGACTTATGTCCTTAATTCTGGTGCTGATAGGGTGACTAGGGGGTTCTGATAAAGTATGTCGGTGTGAAATTGTTTTTCTTTCTTATCCTCTATGTCAGTCATATGTTGCCCCCTTTGCGTGATCGGAAGATCCGACCTGGGACACATCATATGCACTCTATTTCTATACATCTCTATCTATGCTTCTCCCTATCTATCTATGTCAGTCATATGTTGTCCCATCTGCGTGATCGGAAGATCCGACCTGGTATACAGCATATGCACCTTCTATCTCTCTATCCCTCTGTCTATGTTAGTCATATGTTATCCCCTCTGCGTGATTGGAAGAGATACGACCTAAGGCACAACATATGCATCTCTAAATCTATCTTCTCTCTCAAATAATTGAGCACTCACCTAAACTAAAGAGCTCTTTGGAATTCCTTGATTGCTAGGGTATGTCGTGAAATTGGGAACACGTTCTAGTGCACTTAAAATTGAATTAACTAAAGGTTGTCTGTAGATCTCGCAGCTGAATTTAAGTGGACAACAATATCATTGGTCGTCGTCAGCAAAATGGTCTATTTAGGAATATAGGTGCAATGTCTTGTCACTTATAATCTGTCCAACTTGTTAATATCATTTGTGTTTAAGTGGACCACAATATTGGTGATTGACCAGAGCTAAACATGTAGGTGTGTGCTGATAAACGATATTTAATTGCTTGACAACTTTGATCCCAAAAAGTTTTAAATTTAGTTATTATTTTTGTTTTTGTTAAATTTGTTCATATTTTTCCTCTATGCACAAATTTAGGGGGAGAATTAAAAAAAAACATAAAAATTTAATAATACAAAAATATGTTTATTCTTGTTTTATTTCCTTTTCAAAAAATTAAAAATCCAAAATATTTTATTTTTATTTTGAGTGTATTTTTAATTTTATTTTTATTTCTTAGTTATTTCTATTGTGTGCTAAGTTTATTTTTACTTTTATTTTTGATCTCAAAATTTCGTTTGTCTTAAAAAGCGAATTCAAAAAGGAAGACGAGACTCAAGGAGACTGTATCGGAATTTTCTAATAAAGGAGAAGAATATTGGAAAAGAGTTGATGGTCAT